ATTGGGACTAATTTGGAGGAATAGAAGGAGTGAATAGTTTTATTTTTGTCTTTAAATGCCTGATATTATTATTATTAACTCAAATTAATATAAATGGTTTACGACTTAGTATAATAAAGATTTCAAAATTTTTATGACAAATTTAATAAAATAGACCTAATAATTCGCTTCTAGAGAAAAATTCGATATTACTTAATATTCCATTTTTTTTTTATTTCAATATACTTGAATATTGTCTTGTTATTCGAAATTCTAGAATTAATTAAATTTAACTTCTTACTCTTTTACTTACCTACGTAAATATTATTACATTTAGTATATTAACATTAAATGTACTCATTAAATTTTTTTTTTTTGTAATTTAATGTCAGAAATTTGTTAACAGATTATTGACTCTCATTCTCATATTATTATTATTTTGTTCTTTTCTTTATTATTTATTATATTATTATATTATTAATTATATGTTATTCGATAATCATATAAAAGCTGGTGTATGTATAAACAATTGACTATGCATTAATATAAAGCTAACGTCACATTAAAGAGAATGTTCTCATTTTTATGTTCTCGTTTTATGTTCTCATTTTTATCCAATTTTCATTGCTCCTTCTTACTACAATATTAAAATCAATTATTCAAAAAAAGATTGTATTGTATTATCGTAATTTAAATTTCTTTATATTCTTACTTATGGTAATATTAATTTCAACATTGCCATAAGTAAGATCATAGGAAAATTTAAATTACGAGTACTTTAAGTATTTATAAAAAAACGTATCCAAACCAGACTGTCTTCGTATACAATTTTATGTCGACTGTATAGAACAGAACTCTCCTTAGTACCAATTTCCTACAATTGTTCAAAAAAGCAAATTACTTAAATATCAAAATTTAAATTCTATTCAAATTCTCGGAAGACAGCTTTAAACGATAAAGGAAAACGATATTTCACGGTTTTAGTTTAAGATTACATGGGAACATAAGATTATTACGAGCGAATGATTTTTATGTTGAACTATTTATATGGCATCAACGAGATATAAACTCTTAGGTTTAGCGCGCAACTGATACAACTGGGAGAAATCGACTTATGTTAGTAATGGTCTTTATATCTGGTCTCTTTTAAATTGTCGTCTAAGTATTTGTAATTAATACTAGTGAAAATTACCTAATAACTTAAATTTAATATAAATTTATTCAAGATTATTACAAATCATAACATCTTGTTAACCAATTTATTGTTTAAAATATATTGTAGATTTTGACGTTGTAGGCAAATTTTTATAATAAGCACTTCTAAATCAAGAAATTCTAACTAGTTAAATTTAATTTCAACAATATTAGGCTAAAATAATAAAATCAAGTTAGTCTTGTTTTTACTTCTCTCGTTTACAATACTTGTTTTCTCACCAAAGTTACTGTTATATAAGTAACTAGCATGTATTTTATTTTGCGTGTTAAGAAAAAAAAAAATGCTATTAAATTTTTACAAGATTTAAATGATAACAAAAATTTTAAATCACAAACAAAATACGAAAAATTTGTTTTTAAAAATCATTCTTAATTTTAGATTAGTGATGTAAGATGTTTTTTTTCAAAAAGATAAAATATTTATTATTATTATATTTTTTAATTGGTTGAAATAAAATAGTTGAAAATTTTACATATCAATAGTGGAGGTATGTAAGCTTTTTAAGAAATTTCTATATCAACTTATGCTTTAGGTATAATCTAGGTCATTTATTATTTTTAACAATATAGACCTTGTAAAATAAAAAATATATTAGAAAAATATGCTTATTAAGTTAATCAGCATATTTTTAATGTAACATAAGATTCTATTAATAAAATATTATTCGAGAATACCATCATATTTATATTGGGAATATGAGAATTTGTGTATTTTTATGAGATAGTGTATAGCTAATTAATTTGACAGTCGATATATGGTAAAATGTATAGAAAAAATTTTTCTCTCTAGGAAAATTTATTGGAACAGCTAACAATAATAAGCAAAAATTTGTTTGTTGTCCTCAAAATAATTTTATTTTACAAAAGTTGTAATATGGTAAATTAATTTTTATATTCTAATTGAATGATTAGATTAGACTTTTCACTAAAAAAAAAAATCATGTTTCAATTAATTTTGAAAAATTTCATTTCTCTTTCTAATAAAAACAAACTGTAATAATATTTTTTTCCTTTTGGGATTCCGGGACGATTAGTCATTTGACACGTTAAGCAAAAATTGACACATAGCAAATTAATAGTTAGAGAGATCAATGTGTTTTGCAATCATATATTAAGTATAGACATAGCAGCAAAGAATGCAAAAAAGCAAAAAAATTAGTTCAAAAAATTGAATCTTTGTAAATTAGTAAAAACTAACGCAATTTAGACGTGAACGCATGACATTTTGCGACTAAAACCGAAAAAAAAATTATGTTTTACAGTCTGTACGAAAATTACAATTCTGAAAGCAGGATTTTTTTTTCCCTCCTTGAATACAGGCTCTTCATTTTAGCCTTTCTCACTTTAATTTGAAGAGTATTTTATGATTTCTATTCTAGTCTTACAGCTATTGTTAAATTTCTGTGTTGTAATAATCATAAATTTGGATACCTAGCCCTCGATACTCAATACTTTTGAACAAAACAATGTCTAGTTTTGTGTGATTTTAAATACCTAAATTTCATGTTTGTGCTTGTTGGGTTAAGAACACATTTCTAAAATTATGAAAGTTCATGTGTGTTAATTCAATTAATTAAAATGATATTAAAGTTGAAGTAAAACATAATTTTTTTTTTTTGAGCCACTTGAATAAATTTAAAATATTTGCTTAGATTTTGTTTTAAATTTTTTTTTTACCAACTCTTCCAAATTAAATTTAAATTTTTTTTGCTTAATCTAAGATTCAGGAAACACAAATTTATGCTAATTTTTTTTTTTCATAATATTTTACGAATTTTTGTGAATTACTCTCTGACACTATAAATGCTGCCATTTATAATCATATAGTGTGACTTTGTATATTAATATTTTATTTTTCTTAACACTACTCCGCACAAAATTTATTATTTCGCCATTTACGATATTTAAGGCCTAATATAACATCAACAACTTATACTTACATATATACCAACCTGTATTATAAATTATAGAAACAATAACAGAAATGAAAAGTAAACAATAGAATATGTATATGTATGTATGTCAGTATGTTTACATTTATTGTATTATATTATAATGTGCATGACATGTATAAAAATATTATAAGAATATTTTAATGATTATGTAAATTGAATTTACGAAAAATAAAGAATATTATGATAATAGTAAATATTTTGTTGTATGATGACGATGATGATGATGATGATGATGATTACTGTCATAAAGGTATAAATTTCATTTACTTGTTTATTATTATTTTTAGTTTGTTTGTTGTTTTGTCTTTTATACATCTTTTGTCTACTCTACACTAAGTATATTGAATTTTTATTTCATTGTTTTCGTATTAAATATGAATGAATGTATGTATGTATGTACGTATATAATAAAAAATATAAAATTTAGGAACAATCTTTTTAAATTTTATATTGTAATTTAAATAAAGGTTATTGTAATATTATATAAATTTTGTTTTAAATTAATATTTTATCTTACTAACTAATAATATACATACAAACACATAATTTTGCATATAAACCTTATTGTGTATAAACGCAACAAATAAGTAATTATGGTTTTTTTGATAGTGTTTGTGATTACTTAAAAAATAATAAATTACTTTAACCCTTTTGTATTATTAATCCTTCTTACATTTAATTTATAAAATAAAAATGAGAAATTTTTACAATGCCTTTTTGTTAAAAACAAAAATTAAAATACCACACAAATTTAGGAAATATTAATTGAATTTATTTTTTATTTTTCGAATACATAGTTTTCTTCTTAAAATATTTCAGATTCTAACTGTATGGTAGCATAAAAGAATAGTTTCTGGGACATAAAAATTGCCATAAAATAAACAATTAATATATTGGATATGTTCATGGTGTCCATAAAAAATTTAATAGCTCTTTTGTATTTGATACAATAAGTTCTTTAAGATTTTTTACTATGAGAGTTCGGAAAGAAGTAGAAGTACTTAGAAGAAAATTTCTATTGAAAAAACAATTGATTTTTCATTTAAAATTAATTTTTTTTTGGAAACTTTTTCTGATTTCTTATCAAATGTAAAAATTTTGTAAATTGGCAGACAACTCGATTTTTTATAGGTAAGAGTTAACATTTTCCGAAAAGAAAAAAATTTCGAATTTTCTTCTTACTTTCTTGAACCTTAAGTACTAGGTATATAAATACGTCTAATGCCAATATTGTTTTGACCTTTTTAACTAACTAATTATGATGCAACGATTTTCCTATACTAAAATTTAATTTAAGATTTAACGGATCAATAAATGCTTAATGCTTATTTGATTCCCCTGAAAAATGCACGGAAATTAGGAAAGACAGAGCAGATTCGCCTCTTCCGTTAAGTGTTAAGGGGAAGAAATTCAAGAACTCTATGGATTAATTTAAATTTTGATTTTAAATACTTGTTTATTGATTATATTATAGAATTTTTTAAATAGCATACGAGTATGTTGGCTTCATTACATCTGGAAACGTTAAATTGTTTTAGAGTACTTCGAAATTTCAGCATTGTGATGCGGTTGCTCGAAATTTACTTCATAATTGTTAATGATTAACAAATATTATATATAAGAATGCGTTTTGTGAGGGAAAGTGTTTTTTAAATTTGTTAATTATACCGGCAAGATAGCAACTTGATTTCTCTGCACTACTTTCTTTGGTACGTCTATTCTTTTGACGATTATAGAGACTCATAATGCAGAGAATAATAATTGCGAGATTCCATATTTTATTTATTACTTTATTTATTAAAATAAAAATTATTGAATTAAAAACAAAAAATTTCTTTTTTTTAATTTCAGAATTTTTTTCGGCTTCATCGTTTAAGAAAATTGGGACTTAGTGACAATGAAATAAATAGATTACCACCAGATATACAAAATTTTGAAAATTTAGTAGAATTAGATGTATCTCGTAATGGTAAGTTTAACATTAATTTTTATCTAATATGAGAAATTGTTAAAATATGAACTTGGTAGGAAAATTGTGGATTAAATTGTGGATTTTCTAATTTTATATGAAAAATTTTCTTTGTCACATAATTTTCTTTAAAAATTATTGTACTTATGAAAATAAAACAATTTTACTATTAAAAAAATTCTGCATAATACGTTTATAATGTCATTTAATAATAAATTACCGAAATATTTTAGAATTTAAAGAATTTAATCTGTATTAACAAGTGGGCTGAAAAGTCCGTATCGTTTCTATGAGATGGCGCCACCAGAATCAAATTCATACCCTTCTTAGGTAAAACCAACCTTCAAAAGATGCCTGTCAAAATTTGACAGCTGTCGGATCATTAGTTTGTGAGTTATCGTATCAAGAGTGACGCTACTTTTGTTATTTTTGAAAACCATGGAAAGTCAAGAGTTTCGTGTGTTAATGAAACATTATTTTTTGATGAAAAAAAGTGCCGTTGAATGCAAGAAATAGCTTGATGAGTGTTATCCGGACTCTGCCCCGGGCTAAGCAACCATTCGCAAATGGTTTGCTAAATTTCGTACCACCTCCGAAGCGTGGAAAGACGCAACGGTCAGCAGGCAAGGTCATGGCCTCTGTTTTCTGGGATGCGCGAGGAATCATTTTCATCGACTATCTCCAAAAGGGCCAGACTATCAACAGCGACTACTGTATAGTGTTACTGGAGCGTTTCAAGGCCGAAATCGCCAAGAAACGGCCACAAATGAAGAAGAAAAAAAACTTGTTTCATCAGGACAATGCGCCGTGCCACAAGTCCATGAAAACGATGTCGAAATTGCACGAATTGGGCTTCGATTTGCTCCCCCATCCACCGTATTCTCCGGACCTAGCCCCAAGCGACTTTTTCCTCTTCTCGGACCTTAAGAGAATGCTCGCTGGAAAAAAATTTCGCACCAACGAAGAAATCATCGCTGAAACTGAAGCCTATTTTGAGGACAAGCCGAAGGATTACTACTGGAAGGGTATCAAAAAACTTGAAGACCGTTATAATCGCTGTATCGCTCTTTAAGGCAACTGTGTTGAATAATAAAAGCGAAATTTGTCACAAAAAATATTTTTTCATTGAAACGATACGGACTTTTCAACCCACCTGTTAATAATCTACATTCGATTGAAGTAGGACGTTTGTCGTTATTGTTTTATTTCAACCTTAGTAATGCATTCTTTCTCCAAAACAATTTTGTTATATCAAATATCGAAATGATGAGACATCAATTAAAAATTTAAAAAATATTTTAAGTAAAAATATTTTTTTCTCATCTACTTTTTCATTTTAGTTATAGGACAATCAATTAAAAAAATTAACATCCTTTTGGAAAATATTTTCTCTTTTTCTATTATTTTTTCTCATTTTATTCCTGTACAATTTTTCTTTTCCTCTGTTTGTTTTTGTGCATTACTCAATTCCTTTTATTTTATCATTCATCTTTTTTTACGTTTTTCAAAAAGGATATGCAAACAACATTTTATTCTTTATTTATACTATACGAGTATATATATATATAAAGGAAGTGTAATAGAAACTGAGTTATAATAGAAATTATGCGCTTCTCTGCGACGCAACAAAAAAAAAAAAAAGAAATAGAGTAAAGGTAAACTATTAGATAGTATTTTCAAAAAAGTAAAAAATAAATGGAGTATTTTTGCTCTATTTAACTTTTTAATATAATGATAAAGAGGGGGAAAAAATGAAACGGAAAGAAAGAAAGGAAACCTGGAAAAACTTTTTAATATTTTGTATAATACGAGTAATATTGAGAAAAAATGGTACATACTCGTATATACAAAACTATTCAACTATATTTTTAATATTTCGTAACAGAAATAAAATTTTATAAAACAAAATTTTTGAGTATATTCTTGTATTTTTAAAAACCATAAGTACCTGTACACATAGTTTTTCTAGAATTCGATAAGATAAATTTTAATATTAAAATGTTATACAAAAGTTTCAAAATGCTTTCTCAAATATTTGAGTGAAATTTTTTTATTCTAGTTTCTGAACATAAAGTCGTTCTGTTTGGCATATTTTATATTAAGAATCCGCGACAGAACTTCTTGTATTAATTAAGTAACATTGTTATTTCATCTATAGCGAAATAATAAGAGTGAACAGATTGTGCTACCGCTTATTCATGAAACCAAGGCGATAGCTAATTATAGGTATCAGAAAAAGGAACATGTATTCGTAATAATTTTATTTTAAAGAGAATTAACCTCAAAGATTTCCCTCAAATTTCAAATTATTGATATTAGCTTTTCGAACTATACACAAAACACAGAATTATTTACTTCCGAAATAAGTTCTCTGAACAGTTGATTTAAAGCAAAACGTGTGATTTCCAATATGTCTAAATGTATGGTTGGACCTCAACTCGTGTAAAAGCAAAATGAATTTGATTTTATACATTTTTGTACTTTTTTGGTTCGTAATTTACTTGCTTAGACACATACATCTGTTGCAAGTATTTTTGCTTGTAAGAGGTTTTTCTTTTATAAAGACAAATAAATTTGCGGGCAACATGTCTTTTTTTCTATATCGTCGTCCTTTTTTAACGAAAAAAAAAAATATTGTATATTACAGAAAATACTTTTTATTTCATCTAAAATTCTGACTGCTACTGTTATCATAAAGTGCTTACGTACGTAAGTAGAGAACTCGTTAAGAGACAAAATTTTCGTGCAATTTTAACGAAATACAGGAATCCCGAGTACATTTTCAGAGATTTAATCTGATGAATCTGTCAGAAAAATTTGATTAAAAAAATTTTAAATTTATCTGGACGGAATTTTTATGCTTGCTACTTATGACGAGTTTTAGTGAAAAAGTGAGATACTTATTTCAGTTATTTACAGAATTTATTGTAAATAATTGAAATCAGTATTTATTTACAGAAATGTAAATTCAGTTTTAAAAAATTGTTCCCTCTTCCCCGTTTACTTATACAGAATGATTCAGTAAAGAATACTATATTATATGAGGGTCTTGGAATCAGAGCCACAAATAAAAAAAAATTTTTTTTTTTTGCTGCAATCGGTTATGTATACATCTTCTAAAATTAGTAATATTAGTTTCCAGTTTCGAAATAGCTTTTTTCCTATTTATTTTTCACAAAAGTACTTTTGCTTTTATAAAAATTTTCCGATTTTTCAGAAGTAAAGTGGTATAACCCACATTGTGGCTTACGTCACCCTGCTTCTGAGCCCCTCATATATCATCGTATAGAGCATTGAAAATGCGTAAAATTATAGTATTGCATTCGTTTCGGAATCACGCCGTTTATTTCATCTACTATAAGTAAAAATATTTTTATTAAGTATGATGCTAAATTATATGCTCTTAAAACTCTTGAGCTCGTGTAATAATATTTAATCTGTAACTCATCAATTCATCTTATTTTTTTTTTAAATTATTTTTCATATTTTATTTTATTTATTTTAAAAATTATTACAATTCATCGATATAAATTTGAAAATGTCGAAGTGTGAGAGAGAGAAAAAAAATTATAAACAAGACCAGAAAAAATTGTAAAATTCTAATTTCTAAAAATCAATAAATTTTTTTTTCTATATGTACAAATAAATATTCGAATAAATAAGAATAATAATGGCAATATTTTTACTTATTTAAAATATTTTTTTCCCTCTTCTTTTGAAACTATAAAATTCTATAAACAAATATGTACATATGTATGTAAATATAGTGTTTATGAAGCAGTATACGTCTATGGATGAATACCTGTGTAATTACATTGGTGAGAACAACCGCAGTAACAGAAAAGAAAATTATTAAAAAACCGTTATTCATGCTAAAAATATTCAAAATTAGAAGTTTTTTTAGGCATTCCACATTTTTGTTTTCAACCAAAAATGTTTGAATGGGTACCGAAGTCCAAATTTTTTAAGTGTGTAGGTACATAGGTCAATGTAAATATTGAATTATGACAACAGTGTTAATTAGCATTTTAAGTTGTAAAAAACGTTCTGACTTAAAAAGCAAATTTTGTAGCACGAAAGTATGAAAATTGTTTGTTTTCTACTTCTTAAGTAGGAAGTTTCGATTAGCCAAAGACGATTATAATTATTCTCCAGTATAAGAGCTAAAAATTTCAATCAAATACATTGATCAAAGTTGCAGTAGATTGTAGATTTTTGTAGATTTCTAAGGAATCCGAGTGGGGCTTCCTCCGTGCCAACGCGGCTATTCGCGACTTATTGTAGCCTCCGCACGCCCTCATCTACAATATCTCCGTTCCAAGTATGAAACCGGAAACATCCCTAAGGGAGTTATGCAAATGCAAATAATCAATACTGCTTAATGATAACGGGATTTAGTAGCTATTGTAGAAATACAGATTGAACAGAATGAATACGACTGCCTCAAACAAATACAAAGAAAGTGGGATCAAGTCAACAAAATCATACTAAGATAGTTACTTGCTATGCATTAGCAAAAAGAGTAAATAAAAAGATGAAACACATTAAAAAAATTAAAGCTTTTACGATAATGTGAAAATAATCAAAAACTCTAAAAGAAAATAGTATGGAGGGCCTGAATTAATAAATCATAACAATGCTTAGGTTTATCGTGAATGTTTAATTCAATTTTCAATATTCAATGCTTGATTTTTTTTTAAAGGTATGGTTTGTTTAGACTCGACAACAAAATTCGAGTATAAAAATTTTAAAAACCAAGATAAACTGGTAATTCTGGTAACATTCTTCTTCATTTTTTTTTACCAAATTTTTTCTCCAAACTTTTTATAAAATATCAATACATTTAATTTAGATCTATACTAATTCAGCATCGCACGCATCATTGAAAACGAATTTCTAAAATATTTTTTAAGTATTTTAGGAAAAAGAAAATAATAGTAAAAAATCTTTACAATCAATTCACACACACATACATACACAATTACATAGTACAATTTACA